AATCAATCAATCCATCTATCTATCAATCCATCTATCGATCTAGGTATATATATATATATATATATATATATATATATATATATATATATATGATTATTCTAGAGTAAACTTGGTTATCACTATTTATCACGGAGCAATAAAAATTACCCATCCCTGCATAAATCATCCTCAATACATGTCCACCAAACCTATGCACTGACCTGATACCTCTTCTAAAGCCCCTTGTTTTCACTAACTTTCGTCCAATTTAAGATAAAAGTTAGCACTTATGTGTCACTATTACCGAGGGTATCGGATTTCGGTAAGCAGTAATTCGCTTCCAGATACACGACCTGTCATCGGCATCCAAATGCGCGCACCGAGTATGCATTTGATCAGGAGAACCAGTTCTTCAAGGCTCATCGATCTGTTTGTACTAGTGGTGCACGATTGATCGTACATCGTTAATTTTCCACGGACCGCAATCGAACAGATAACTGGGCTTATGGGACAACCCAGGCATAATCGCATGGACTTCTCACACATACCTGTCCAGGCCCCAATACACTCATTTTTGTGCCCCAAAGATCATCATTAATCCATCGATTTGACCGACTGAATCAGATTCTGTCTGTCTCAGCAGTATGCTCAGGACAGAATCCACGGGTTGGCATTGTGTGTCCCATGTTATCGGATCGTCACAGTCCGTGCTTCTGATAGGGCATCGTACAGTTTGTTTCTATTCTAGTTCCGAAGGCAATCATATTTTTAATCATGTGTTCTCGGGATTCCACAAACCGATGGGTTCCACTCAGATGAGTTTCAAAATTCCTCCCTGCTACGAAGGAAACTAAGTTGCTTTATGGATGGACATGGACAATGCTTCTATTCATCAATCTAATCGGCCTAGTCACCAACCGTGGCGTTAGCAGAACAATGAAATGAGTGAACCGCATAGTGAGAGAAAGACGCGCTGGTACTCATTGTTGAAACACAAAAAGTTCCAATACCATGAATGTGTCATTTAGCGAGCAGATATGGAACTCATGGAGCTGTCATGCCAAATGGGTATTCGAAGTCGCCGACTAACTATCGGCTCAGACAGGTAATGTGTTTGCATGGATTTCCGCGGACAGTACAATAGTTTACAGGTAACTCTGTTGTGCGTTTTGGGCCCCGATTTCTGTGATCTTCCCTGAAAATGAATAGGGGAGTGGACGTATAGTTATTCAGTTTTTCCACTCATCAATGTGAGATGTGGAATAAAAAATCATGTCTAATCTGGTCATTCACGATTCACCTTCATGTTTTGTATTCGTTGCCAGTCGTGTTTTTGAACGGTCATACTTATCCATCACAAGAAATTGTTACTTTGATATTTTAGGTCAAGGTCCTTTCTCATTCCATTCAGAATTGTGTCAAGCGATACATTTGTACAGTGCCTAATGTGTCTATTACTTCTCTCTATCTCTCTCAGGCCGATTCCCTGATCTTTTTTTTGATAATGATTGTTGTATGGTACTATTTAAACTTTGTCTAACAACTAACTGACTCATATGCATGCTTCTCATCATTGGTCTTTCGTTAATCAATCCACGTTGCTGGAGCCTCAAGGTTTTGTTTTTTCCCTGTGCTGTTTCCCATGCTCAGCCATGAAACGACCTCTCACCTATGGAGCTAGACGTATCAGCTTGATTAAAGGTGATAAACTCCGCTCACTGAAACGTACCATCTCGGGAACCGGAACCGCGACAGTACCACGCAAACGAGTTGTACCGTTGCGTAACGGATCCACGAGCGTCAGTAATGTCACTATCGCATCTCAGAATACCTCTGTTACTAAGACGGAGGAGGAAGAAGAGGATACAATCAAACCTGAGGTGAAAATAAAAAAGAAGCCCGCTTTTACAGACTCCACAGTCAAGGCTACGGATACTGCTCGAACCGCAAGACCATCGTCTGAACGCGCACGTGCCGCCTCTACTGAACCCACAAAATCCACCCAGTCAGTAGTATCCATATCATCATCATCCAAATCGGCTACTTTTTCATCTTCAGACAGAACAGGTACCGTTAGGCGACGTAGCGTATCGCCACCTACTACTTCCAAGGTTAGTTTTTTCACTCGCCCACCACTGGTTGTTTTCCTACTGTTGTCTTACCTCTTAGCCGTTTTGTCGTGCGGATCGTTTATGTGATTCGTTTCGTTTCCCGCGAATTCTTTTTTATATAAGAATATGAGAATATTGATTACTTCAGTAAACTATATTTTATGCTATCTGACCGCTGGTGAGAAACTGCAATAGATACCGTCCAAGATCGAAACTCCTTGACGAAATGAATGCAATTTGAGTGCGAATGCCCATTCCTTAACCAACCAGTGACTAATAAAAGGAAAAAAATGTAAGTGTTCAGATATATTTAGATACAGTCCTACTCCCCTCTCATCGTGGTGCGATAGCCTGCGTGGCCCCTCATGACGCAACAATCTAAACAGGCTGGCTTTTGATAGTCGTAGGTTTAATCACGCTCAAACGATCAATAAGAAGAGGAAAGAAGAAATTTAGCTTCAAGACCGGATGATCCAGAACAGGTTGGTGTTACTCTTAACCGTCCATTTTCGCTCCCGAAAAGGACCCTAGTGAATGAACACGGAGAGTAGCAGTTTACCGGTCGAAAAAAGAACTCGCAAGTTCCTTCGTTGGGAAGATGTCTGCGGACCAGTAAACTGGTACTCTCCGTGTTTATTCACTAAAGTGCTCTTCGGTGGACTGTTGGGTGAGCGGTGTCTATCGTCCTTCGTCAGATTGGGTTACTGGAGTGTATGTCATGCCATAAAGTCGCTAACAGCCATTAAAAAAACCTGTTCGCTAACTGTCTACCACATCCTCTCACTCCGAAATCGCACAGAATGTCTGGTGTTTACTTCAGCCATACAGTATCACTCAGTGTTTAAACAGTGATCTCAACTAACGAAATGCAATCCAAGTCAACTGGACGGACATCGCCTACTTCATCTCTGCGCGAAACACGTGTTGTTCCTATCAAGTACCAACTTCTCGCACAAGAAACGACCTCGCCTCACATGGAACCGACGCAGAGCTCTCTGATTGCCTCTCAGTTCAATCAAACACCGAAAGACTCAATGAATACTAGATTTTAATCAAGGGAGTGATGAAAATGTCGATCGAAACAACGGCGGACTCTGGTGCAGACTCAAAGCACAGAATGGATTTGGTGGATCGCGGCTACCTTGCTGGACGCCCGCAGAACCGTAAATTCTGAGGCCAAATATGACAGCGCGCAAACTCCTTAAATGCTAGCTTATCAAGAGTATGAGGAACGACCGCGAGAAGTGGTGGGTAGGAAAGTTTCGAGAGATTGGAAAGTCTACTGTCATGGGTAATACTCGCAATTTTTTCCGTTTAACCAGAAATACGTTTCCACGGAAAAAGGAGTTAGCGAGGTGATTAAGAAATCCGATGGTCCACTGCTTCACCATCAGCAACGCCGTCTTAGTCGATGGACTGAACGCTTCAAAGCTCAGTTCAACTGACCCGTCAACCCCTACATCATATGACCGACTAGAGCCAGTTGATATCAGTCCTCTATCTGAATTGGAGGTTACCCGGGAAATACATTATATCGAAGGGTAAAAAGCTTTCAATCCAGATGGTCTGTCTCAATCGGCTTTTAAGGTTGAAGGCTCAGTGTTAGTTTTGGATTTGACGGAACTCCCGGGGTCGGTATGGCGGAGCCAACCGGTTCCAGGTGAATAGTGTGAATCGATCATCCTACCGATATACAAAAAAGGCATCTGATCGTCGTGTAAAAGCCGCAGAGGAATTAGTTTAATCATTGTTGTCTCTAAACTTCTTGCCAGGATCTAACTCCTGATCGAGTTCGTTCGCTCTTTTCCAAATCTTAGAACAGGAAACCTCCTCTGCTAGACCCACCGTCTCTGTCTTCCACGATCTGAATACGGCTTTCGACTCAGTCGACCGCTCTAAACTCTGGCGCTGCCTTTCTCTGAAAGGTGTGCCCGAGAAGTTAATTTCAATATTACAATCCCTTTATAGTAATAACCGAAGCCGAGTCCGAGCTTACGACACTTTTTCATCCGAATTCGTCTGGTTTACCCTCTCTCTCTCTCTCTTTTTCTATTTAACTTTGTCATACATTTGATGATAAAAACTGCGTTATCCTTGTGCGAGTGTAGTGGCATCGATTTTATCTTTATCTTTTACTTCCTTTTATAGAAATATGCAATGCTACAATTTTCAGGAAGAGGGAAGCGGCCAATCAAAGGGCTGCCATTCAATACACAAATGGGGAAAATCAGGCGGTGGTGGTGGGATTCGAACCCACATCCCCAGGGGGTGATAATTTGGTGATGCTACCACCGAGCCACCACCGCTCTGAGATGACCGATTGCCTTATCCGGAGTATGCAGACGAAATTGTGCTGCTAAGTGAAGATCCTGGCAAATTGCAAGTCTTTCTGGACAGTTTGAGCCCTAGTGTAGCCATGTTCGGTATGCGTTTTGCACCTTCAGTGTGAAATGTTACTACCAGACTGGGTTGGTTCAGCTCTCAGTCTCATTCGAACTGGGGAAGTAACAGAGCAAGTGGATAAGTTTTGTTATTTGGGTAGCTATATCTCACCCAGTGGCCACATCACGGATGACGTGGCAGCTCGCATACAAAAGGCTCAGTTGGTATTTACCAACTTGAGACATCTGTGGCGTCGTCACAGCATTCGGCTGTCCGTGAACGGTCGAGTTTAAATTGCGGTGGTTGGACCAGTTCTGCAATACAGTGCAGAGACTTGGCTATTATTAAAAAAAAGGTGTAAAGATAGACTGTCATTGTTTGAACACCGTTGTCTACGCAACATTGCGTGAGTCTAGTGGGGAAACTGAACAATCTTTGTTGAGTTTAGACTCACAATTTCAGGTCATCGTGGTCGTTCACTGGAACGTGTTGCGTGTGTCACCAAACAGATTGCCGCAGCACGTGATGTTTGGGCTCTCGTGAAGTATGGCACTTATTGGGAAAGCCCTCTCTCTAGTCTTTCTTATTCTTCGTCTCACTCCCAAAAGATACGAAATACCAATCATAAGATAATGGATAGATGAAAATAAAATCCCGTCTTCAGTTATCCCCATTCAGTCGCGGCACACTTACAGATCAGCCAGAGTTACTATAGATAGATCCTTTGAAACCTTCAATGCAGATGTATGTTATATCTCCGAAACAGACACAGGCACAGAGTGATTACTTCAGTAATTACTCTTCCTTCTGCAGACCCATCTTCATCTTCCTACTTCAAAATCCATCTGTTAGGCGAGTAGATGTCTCGCGTTTACTGCATCGTAATCGGCATTACTTTGTGTTAAGGTTGAGCGCTCATTCCGGATTCCGGTCAGTGGTCGACTAGTCAAGTTGTATCAAGAAATTGCCTTAGTATATATACCATTTGGTGCTAATTAGGTTGTCAAAATAATGAAGAGACGTATAAGTACACCAGGTTTATGGAGTTAACTTCAGGCTGTGGGCGAATCCTGGTAAGATCCTGGCAAGATAGGGAATTACGGAAGTGTGCTACGCTTTCGCGCGTGCTTCAACATATTTGTTCTGAAAGCTAGTAAAGTGTATTTGGATAATGCGAAGTTAGGAAGGTGATATGAGTCAGGTAGTATTTCGAGATCCAGTTCGTCACAATATTTGGTGTATTGTGAGACATCGTGGTGGATTATGTGAGTTTTGCGTAAACCATAACACATGGATAAATCTCTGAGTGTTCTAGGTACCACATATACCTTTTTGTAATAGACCAGGAAACATCCCTGAGGTAGCACAAAGCCAGTGCGGTAAGATACAGGCTTACAAAAAATATTTTATTAAACAGGAGAGCGTGGAGAATCGCCTCAGTTGTGGAGCACAAAATCAAAACCTGACGGTGACAAAAAACATTTTTGATGTGCTCAGACCAAGAAAGAGAATACTTAAAAATGACACTGAAGTATTTGACTGATGTTCCTTGAATGAGGAGTGTATCGTTAATGAATATCGCCTGGCACACCTTCAGAGAATCAGACTATGATTTACCCCTGCGGAGGGGTTGTATCGTGTATGGTTTAATGATATTTCCTGATGGGTATCATTAGTCGCACACTGACCGTATCTATGTCAACACAGCTAAAGTTGATTGCAAAATAACACTAAACCACAACTGGAGCAAATGGCGGTAATCCTTCGGAGAATATTTTGCACAACACGGTGGAATTCAAACATCCCACGCTGTAACGCGTGATTAGTTGAATGCAAATCAACAGCAACAGAACAATTCATCGGTGGTTATTCCTCGCGTCCGTGGACGCACCGGTCCGTTACAGTTTGCATGAAATGAAGAAGGACCTCTCTAAAAAATGAAAGCCAGTGTCTTCGCAGCTTAAGTATATATTATATATTATATATATTAGATGATGAACTTTGTAAGAGTATTTACCAGCTGGCTGGACAACTCACCTCAAACTTCGGAAGATTCGCGGTTCAACAATTTTGACCTTGAAATTCATGAATCGATTGCTCTAAAATTATTGTGCTCTATTTTACGAATCGTCTCCGAAGCCGAACATTTACAGGTGCTCTATCAAATAATTCCAGTGACCTTGCGTCATACACTCTTACGACATGCATGCTTACAACACTTTAAACCCGTCACGGGGCTCTACGTCGTGTTTTCGGTCATTGTATATGCCATTTTAAGATCAATTTGAGAAACCATCACGTTGAATTGCGAAAGAAATTTTGTGGTTGAATCCGCTTCCGTTCAGCGATGGTAGTCGTAGTAAAACTGACTGGATTTCGAACCGTGTCTTGGCTCCAAAACGGTTGCTGTGTGTCTGTAGTAAGATCTGAGAAGAATTTGCCGTATTCATTTCATGCTCCATATACACCAATTTACATTTTGTGGAAGTATATCATACCCGTTCAGTTCAGTTCAGTTTGTACAACCATTAAACGTGCACTTTCGTGCGTCGGTTTTGGTTCCTGTCTTTTGACCATCCATTTGGATGAACAGTAGAATAAAGCCAAGTCAAGGTGCAGTCTCGTAGTGATGAATCATTTCATTTCTCACATGGTCATTTTTAAGTTGTGCAATTTTTTCGTGCTTTGAGAAAACATTTTTGTCCCGTATGTTCTCTCCCGCCCATTCCCCCCTCTCTCACACACACACACACACACACACACACTGTTTGTACATTTGACCCAAAGCCCATGAAAAGCGAGCCTGTCCGTAAACAACCTGGTCAGAAACCTCCACCGGATGATAAGGACTCAAGTAGTCGTCAGTCAGTCAAATCCCGACCAAGTAAATTGACAACAGAGACAAAAGTCAATGTGAACCGAAAGAAACCAAAATCTGGTAAGACTGAAGTTGCGAGCACGGGTACTCCACGAGGCGGTACAAGCACGCGGACTAGTCCAACTAAACGAACTCCGGCTTCGCGAAATGCTCAAACTCCGATTCAACGAACCACTCGAGTTCGTCATTCTTCCGTATCATCAACTTCTTCGGACTCGTCTTCTTCATCCGACTCCGTCGCGTCTATATCTGCTCCCTCCACGACTAGAAAGTCTCAAAAGACGTCCGCACCACCTAAGGAGACGACGACTGGTACGGCAACCTCGGACTCGGGTGCTCGTCGCGGACGAGATGCGAAACGTGGAGCCGGTGCAAGACGTGGTCGCCCAGGTCGTGTTGCCGGTGGCAGCATGGTTGGTACTGGCGGTGCGGATCGAAGCTCGAGCAGCAGTCGTAGTAGTAGCCGAAGTAGAGCAAGTGGTCGTAGTAGTAGACAAGGCAGCGGTTCATCGTCGTCTTCTTCGTCCTCTTCGTCTTCCTCCGATTACGGGAACATGGACGCGTTGCCCCGACTAACGCGTAGTCAACATCGTCAACTTCTCGGAGACACGCCACCCGGAGCAGCTCTTCAAACTGCAGCTCCGGTGAGCGCCTCGACAGGAACTACAACTAATGCGACAAACGTCACTGTCAAACCGGAACCACCGACGAAAGAGATCTCACCGAAATCTGCCTCAAAGATCGAGACGAAAGAAGGACCAGTCCCGGAAAAGTTGGACAAAAAACCCAGTCCAAGTGATGATAAATCCCGCGGGGGATCGAAGCCCGGTTCGACCACTGTGTCACCTGCTCCGGCAATGGTTACACCGACCTCTACTCCTGGTATGTGAAAACAGTGTCAAATTTTATTTTGGGCTATTGCCGAATTGTTCACTTTGTTACATCATCAGATCTGAGACGCGTCTTTGATCCCCCCAGTGTATTATCGTCTTTCGCTTTTTTGACTATTCTGCTATGTTTAAGGTTATCGGTAGCCATGCTCTGGCTCTTTCCCTTTTCTTTATGATTGAGAAGAATGCTATAGGTGAAAAATATGAAAACACCAAAAGCTATTCATTTGTGTAATTCAGACGGGTATAGGTTTCTATTTGTCACAAACTGTGCGAGTTGATTTGAAAGTATATGCTGTCCGCTTTAAATGATGGAACCTGTTTTTCCTATTGTCACACACTTCCCCATCCAAATGGGCAACCAAAACCGGCGCACGAAAGTTCATGGTTAATGGTTGTTCAAACTGAAACTTTCGGTGATTTGCTTCATCGCAAGAATAAAACTGTGTTACAGTGCTTACCACATATGAAACAGCGGTTTTCTTAAAGACATTATTGTGAAATGGAATGTATCTGGAAATCAAAGTATGCAGATTGATAAAAACGGCAGAGAAAACATCATGATACTGACATTGCTTCCAGCTTGCTCGTTTTTCTATGTGCAAACCTCACACGAGAAGGTGTGCTGAGAGAAAATACGAACACAATAGTCTTGATATTTTGTTCGTAACTGACATCCCTCCAACCAGCTTGATATGGTGGTATTAGTTAGTCGGACCGTGTTTGCTATTCCTTTGGTATTAGTCGAACTTTTGCGTTCACTGATCGGACTCCGAAGTCCGATTGATTGACAAATCAAAAAAGTCCTCAGCGTACTCCGAAGGGTGAATGAACATTCAGCTGCTGCGTAACCATTACAATACGAATATATATTGAGGGGAATAAATGCCTCTATAATACGGTGAAGGGCTTAGAGCCACACACACACACAATCATGTGTTGCTCAAATCATAGTAGTTGTTGAGGAAGCGAGTTCAGTATGCTACAACAAAAGGCCGATTGATTTTTGTGTAACTATAAATACGTTCGTGGGACAAACTAGTTCGAAAGGTCAGGATACACTATCAAAGACCATGGTGAAGAAACTGAGGTCGGATTGTTGATATATTCCGAAATGATTTCTGGTACACAGCAGACTTTTTAGAGGCACTAAACAAAAAGAGTAGCTCACAGGGAAAATCAGTCCACCGCGACCCAATTTCAGTAACAAGCAGCTTTGTTATCATCCAGTTAGATACCGCATCTATCATAAGGAGACCTTTAATAAGTTCCCATTATAAGTCGTACGGCTTAGGGCACTTTGTCCCATAACCGAACAAGGTCCCGGTGACTGTCTGTCACACTGGTTCCAATCGGTGCCCATTTTTGTGTCCGACAAATCCATTTTCGTACCATTGGTCTATCCACATTGACGTTAGTGTTTGCTTTTACTTTCATGCTATAGTGCTACGCCAATCTGTATTGTTTTCTCGGCGATTGACGTCATTTCGAATTCACCCTTTCGCATGAGGCACATAAAGCATAAGCACAAGGTGGACTCGTAATTCGTATTCCCATTGGTGTTTGTCGAGTTCAGGTGTCCGATTCGTTTGGTCTCACTTTGCTGTTCAAAACGTTTTCCGTTACACAAAAATAAGTATTACATTTTCTCAAAGTTTTCTCCACCGGTGTTCGGGCACACAAAAATCGGTACGCTCAAACTATTTGATGAAATAGCTCGACTATGGCGAAGCGGGTAACCTTTCAACCAGTTCAATGAAGGCCTCCACTGCAACTGTTGGTTTCTCATATCGAACTGTGCAAACCAATCAAACAGAGTGCTTCTCGAAGGCGCGTCATCACCAAAGGCAGCTCGTAAACGATCAACACTGCTGCTGCTGCTGCTCTAAACCACCTTCGTAGTCCTAGTGATATTGACTGTGTTGATATTTGATTCTGTGAGTTTCAATTAGTGAACTAGATCCACAATAGTATATTACAGTTCACATTTTCCTTGCCCAGTCATCTGCACCCCTTACTCGTGTATTGCGTATCCGGGAATTATTTGCTCAGCCCTCCTATTTGTGTTCACTCGACAAAGCGAAAATGCAAATACTGTCGTTTTGATGAATGGCATCTTTTGAGGATATACCCATCGTTTTATTACATGATCACCTGACAACTCTTCTTCGCCTTTTCATGTTCTCCGTTGATAGTGGAGTCGACAGATACTGCTAGCACCCCTCCCACAGTTCCTACGATCGCAAGCACACCAATCAACAACGTGTCAGTCGCCCGTGCAGAATCGGACAAAGGTGCAGCAAAACAAACGACCACTTCCAGGTCACGTGAACCATCGGAAACAGTAGCCGAAGAATCCTCTATCGTCATCAGTCCGCCTAGTCCGAAAAGTGCTGGCAAGATCCGTGCCCGTTCGAAAGGAGGACGCTCGGTGGATGGGAGTTCATCCTCAAATGGAGCTCGTGAACGTGTGGTAACAAAGGTCACACCGTCGGATGAAATTCCAAAGGATAAACCGGACGAACAGGAAGGTCAACAGGTAAAAATTGAACAGCCCCCGGAAGTAGAAGAGGTAGAAGATGCGGAAGAGGAAGATGAGCAAAGTTCCGTTCACACGGTCAGCACTGACCCAATGAAAGGTGTATTATTTGACTTGACCATGTCACCGGACGCTGTGACTCCGATCCGATCCTCTTCTTCCGCGTCTGCTTCCGTCTCATCCCCAGTCGCTTCGTCATCCAGTTCAGACAGTGAAATGGACGAAAAGTGTATTACGATATCACCGGTGACTGCAACAGCTCCGGCAGCTACACATGCAGATTCTGAGAAAGATACAGACTCATCAACGTGTCGTCGACCGCAGCGCCCTCTTTTAGGGGATAAAGGTGTGACGGGTGACGAAGTGGAAGAAGGAGACGATGAGGAAGTTGAGGCTTCCTCAGACACGGATGCAGATGATGGCGATGAAGAGGTGGAGGATGATAATGCATCGGCTCCGTCCACCGCCACCACAGGGGGTTCGAAAAGATCGGTTCGATTGCGTAAACGCTCCGATGCAGTGTCCCGGGGTTCTGCAGAACCAGAAGTTGAAGATAAGTCATCTCGCATAGAGCAAGAACATGGGCCGGCCAAGCCGTCAGCTCGTCGACGTCGAACTAGCGTGAGCAGCAGCACAGAAAATACAAGCACGACAACTACTGGTAGGAAAGGATCAAAACGCGCACACGGAACTCCTCAACGGTCTCTGGTAAGCCGATAACTTTCATGCGTTCATATTGTAGTCCGTTTGACCACAATCTGTTGATCTGTTTGTTCATGGTTAGATGAACACTACTCGAGGCGTGTTTCATCTTATTCGACAAATGGGAAAGATATGTTCGATGTTTGCAGCGTTGCAGTCCCGGGCCACAATAGTGATTGCCAATCGTTATCACATACACGCAGCACAAATCGGGAGATTGATGTATTCTTGGAGGAGACATTGTGTGGCTGTGATGATCCGACTTTTACTTGCCTAGTGTACAGTTTTCTCTTACTTGTTATTGTTTCTTTGATAATTTCAGTTATATCTCTTATACAGTCTGAATTTCCGTTTGACTCGTGTATCTTTTCAACTGGCTGCTTCCTTCATTCTGAACCAGGAATTACGACCGCAATTCACTAACTGGCAAGTTCATCATTCCCCACTCGGTTGTGGTTGAGAACTGTCCGGTCATTCGATAACAAAACCAGAGACTTACATTTTGGTTTTCCTTCGTTTTCGTACAGAATCAAAGGTGTTGCCTATCTTTTCCTCGTTCTCACTCACTACACCCTTTCGCCTGTCCACTGATTCTGTTGAGCTCTGAGCAGCGACCTGTTTCTTTTTTCTCTCGTTTTATTGCTTCCTTTTATTGAATACATAATGATGCAATTTTCAGAAAGAGGAAAGCGGCCAATCAAAGGGCTGCCATTCAACACACAGTCGGGGAAAGTCATGCGGCGATGGTGGTGAGATTCGAACACACCTTCCCAGGGGGTGATAATTTGATGACGTTACCACCACCAGTCTTTTGATAATTAAATCAGTATTTTTACATTCCGGTTCCATATTGAACTCATTAGCACTTGGAATTTGGTGGTGAAGATAGAACGTTAGTTTCACTGTTTCACTCATCGCTAATTGGTTCCTAATCATCGTTTCTGAGCATTGATTGTTTATAAGCGATAAATATTCGTAATTCTTTTAAATAAGAGTCGGTCTCGATAAGATTAGATGCATGGTTCACTCAAACCCCTTTGTTCGATCACCTGATCCACTCGTAGGCATTTGATCGATCACCCACACCGACTTCCGATTCGCCCCACTATCCTCATTCGCCTGCGCTTTCTTCCACCGCGGGTACTATGTCCGGTGCTCCGGCCACACCGACTGGTACATCCGGTACAAAGTCCGCATCACAAACCGGACCGAGGTTGTTAGCATCACAGCGACGTTTTGGCGGTCCGTTCTTTCCAATCCAAGGATTGGACGAGATGCACACAGAAGCGAAGTGTCAGGTAAGCATTCGGTTTGTCTCATTTCATACCTGTTCTTATGTATGAGACTGTTGCGTTATCTTCTCGCTGCTCTTGTTGCTATACTACCCGAGTTATGTAAACCATCTCCAGACCAACAGCTTCCCATTATACGAACGATAACTGACCAAACAGATAAACCAGTTCAGTTTACACAACCACGGACCTCGGAATACTATGAGATGAATCTGGTTAATATCTTACGGCTGCACTTTTGGTTGATCCATGCGGAAGTAGTGGATGAAGCGGTTCAAGACCATGAGAACTGGCACAATAAAAATGCAACGAGTAAGTAAACTATGTATGCGAAGAAATTCACTTTGTTCGTTC